TTATACATATGGTCAATTAATCTATAGAAAAGGAGGCAAGAATATGCAATGGGAAAAAAGACAGTCTCTTCAACAAATGGTGTTGGGAAAACTGGAAAGCTACATGCAGAGAGAGAGAGAGAGAGAGAAACTGGACTATTTTCTTATACTATACACAAAAATAAATTTAAAATGGATTAAGGACTTCAACGTAAGACCTGAGACCATAAGACTCCTAGAAGAAAACATAGGAAGTAATTTCTTTGCCATTATTCATGGAAACATTTCTCTAGATATATCTCCTAGGCAAGGGAAACAAAAGCAAAAGTAAACCTTTGGGACCACACTAAAACAAAAAACAACAAACAAACAAACAAACAAAATCCTTCTGCACAGCAAGGGAGATCATCAACAAAACGACAAGGTAACCTACTGAATGGGAGAAGATTTTGCAAATGACATATCCAATAAGGGGTTAATATCCAAAATATATAAAGAATTGATAGAACTCAGCACCAAAAACACAATCTGATTAAACAATGGGCAGAGTACCAGCATAGACAGTTTTCCAAAGGATATGTAAATGGCCAACAGAACATGAAAGTATGTTCAACATCACTAATCATCAGAGAAGTATAAATCAAAACCATGACAAGGTATCATTTCACAACTGTAGGAATGACTAGAATCAGAAAGACAAGTAGTAACAAGTATTGTTGAGGAAGTGGAGAAAAAAACAACAACTTTGTGCACCATTAGTGGGAATATAAATTAGTGCAGCCACTGTGGAAAACAGTATGAATGGAGGTTTCTCAAAAAATAAAAATAAAAATAGAACTATCAAATGATTCAACAATTCCACTACTGAATATTTACCCAAGGAAAATAAAGACACTGATTTAAAATATATATTTATGTGTGTGTTTACCCCTATGTTTATTGCAGCATTATTTTCAATAGCCAAGATATGGAAGCAATCCAAGTGTCCATCATAGATTAATGGATAAAGAAGAGGTGGTATATACACATTAGAATATTACTCAGCCATAAAAAAGAATGAGATCTTGCCATTTGCAACCACAGGGATAGACTAGAGGGTAAAATGCTAAGTGAAATAAGTTACACAGAGAAGACAAATATATTATTTCACTCATATGTAGAATTTAAGAAACAAAACAAATGAACAAACTAAAAAACAAAAAGACAAACAAAAAAATCAGACTCTCAAATACAGAGAACAAACTGGTGGTTGCCAGAGGATAGGTGAGCAATGAAATGGATGAAATAGATAGAGGGAATTAAGAGTACACTTACTGTGATGAGCACCGAATAATGTACAGAATTGTTGAATCATTGTATTGTGCACCCAAGACTAACATAACACTATATGTTAGTTATACTTCAATTAAAAAATGTTATTGACCAAAAAAGAAATGACAATGTTTTACAGTAATAAAAACCTCTTTTAAAATGATGAAACAGTAAAGAAACAGCATTGGCAATGTATTTCTCTCTTGATTTTTAGATATATTACATCAGAAGATGAATTTTATCCACAGAGAATTTGAGCAAACACTAGAAATAAAGCCATTCAGATTGTAACTACTTTTGAAATGTCAACATAAAACTACTAATATGTCATTTGAATCATTTTTGTAAATGTGAGAACAACTGTGCTTTTGACTGATAACCCCTCTGTCATCCAAGGTCATGCCAAGGAATGTCAGGTTGGGAAAAAAAAGAGAGATTTACACACTTCTGGTTTTTTTTTCCTGTTTAAATTGGTCATTCAGTTTGAAAATCTTTCCATAATTGCTTCAATTGCAGCTTAGATGAGTATTTCAAGATGTTCATTCCAAATTTGTGGACCGATGTTGTCAATGATCACAGAATTTTAGAAATGGAATTGATCAGTGGATTATCTGGTTCAGTGCTTTTGGCTGGCAGAATAGCTGATATAAATTAATTATCTAAAAACTTTGTGGTTTAGAGAATGACAAAGAGAATCATTATTATTCCAGGGGAGGAAACCAAGGCATGAAGACATTAAATGAGATGCCAACTGTACTAGAACTTGTTACTTGCAGTCAGGACTAAAATATAGCTGCCAGCGTCTCATGTAGAGCTTTCCACTATCCTGTCCCATCTTAATACCATTGATGGTTCTAAAGTGTTATCTAGATGTGAAATAGTAATAATTTATAACAGGAAAGAAATACATTCCCTGGCTCTCTGGAAAACAAACATATTGTCATCCTATGTTTACAGCTAAAGGTGGATTTTGAATGTCACTGCTTGAAGAGTACTGAGAAGTTTTATTGAGGTGAACTCCAGAAGGAAAAGAATAATGTCATTTCAGGATGTGTGTTTAACAGACTTCATTTTAGTTGTAATATTTTGCCTATGCAACATATAATAAGATTATTTTTTACAAAATGTGTTTATAGGCTTCAGTCTAGCATCGAGCCACACTGACTAAACAAATGTAATTGCTCTGAATGAACTCTAAATAGCTTTCAACATTTCATTACAAAGCAATTACATCTGATTCTTTCCCAGTGCTTCTGGCATGGCTTTTTTAAAAAAAGTAAGTACACAAACAGGTGAAATCAACCACTATGAAATATAACCCACATGCCTAAAAAACAAGCCTTCACAGTGACAGTGAGGTAGGGGAGGTTTAAGTCAAATGGTAAACAGCTTAATGTCAAGGTAACTGCACAGAGAGAATTCAGCATGCTTACTCAAGCTAAGTTTATTTTTTGAAAAGGGAGTGTTTACTTAATTTTACAATGCTACGAGGTACTACAAAATTTATTAGACATTCCTTAAAAGTTAAGATAGACATCTTGTAAATCCATATTAAAAATATATATTTGGCTTTTGTAAAGCAAAACATAACTGCATACTCGTCTGGATTTTGGAAGATCATAAGTGTTTAATTAATATCTATTGAGTATTGTGTTGCAGTAACTGCTATAAGCATTACATATATATATGTATGTATATATAATATGTCATATGTTATATTGTGTATTATATATATGCATTTATATACATATTCTCAAATATGTAACAAAATAATCCTATAAGGTAATTGTTACTATTATCTTTATTTTTAAAGATGGGGAGACTGAGACACAGAGAGGTTAAGTAATTTTTGTTCAAGATCAAGAGAAGCCACTCATGGAAGGTCAGGATTCAAACATAGGCATTCTGGTGCCTGAGTCCATGGTCCTAATTGCTTTTTGTACTAGTAACTCTTACTTGTAAGGATATTATGCACAGATCTGACATAGGTCTGGGGATTTTGCACTGGAAAGAACAGTGAGCTGTTAACATAATAACTAGGCATAACTGCATAAAATATCATAGTAGTCATTTGGCCGTAGGTCTATGCCTCTTAATATGGCTTTTTAAAAATGAAACATCAACAATCACATAGTACATATAAACCCTCTATTTTATTTATTTTTTAAAGTTTATTTTTATTTATTTTGAGAGAGAGATAGAGAGCAAGAAGGGGAGAGTCAGAGAGGGAGAGAAACATGATCAGAAGCACGCTCCACGCTGTCAGCGCAGAGTCTGATGCAGGGCTTGAACTCAGGAACCATGAGATCATGTCCTGAACTGAAGTCAAGAGTTGGACACTTAACTGACTGAGCCACCCAAGCACCCCTAAACTATTTTAAATGAAAACTGTTTGGGGGCATCTGAGTGGCTCAATCGGTTAAATGCCCGACTTCGGCTCAGGTCATGATCTCACGGTTTGTGAGTTCAAGCCCATGCGGGGATCTGTGCTGACAGATTGGAGACTGGAGCCTACTTCAGATTCTGTGTTTCCCTCTCTCTCTCTCCTTCCCTTGCTCTCTCTCTCTCTCTTTTTCACTCTCTCAAAAATAAAATAAAACATTAAAAGTTTTAAATAAAATTTGTTTAATTAAAGATAGATGTTATCTGGGGCCCAGTATCGTGGGGTGACACACATACCCCTTGTGACAATCTGTTCCTTATGTGTGAAGATGTGAGAATGTGCACCTGAGTATTTTTCTGGGAAAAAGATTTCTTTCATTAGATTGTTAAAGGAATGCGTAGTTTACCTAGTATTTAGAACATGGTGGGCAAACTTTTTCAGTAAAGGTAAATATTTTGGGCTTTGTAGGCCATATAGTACCTCTTCTGCAACTGCACAACTCTGCTGCTGTAGAGCAAAATCAGCCGTAGACAATATATAAAAGTAGGGGTATGGCAGTGTGCCCATAACACTTTTGTATGTGCTTCGAAATCTGAATTTTATGCAATTTCTATGTCACAAAATAGAATTGTGCCATTGATCATTGGGTAATTATTTAAAAACATAAAAGACAGACAAACGAAAATACCCAAAGAACAAAAGTATCTTAGCCCAGGGACAATAAACAGCAAGCAGTGGGCCAGGTTTGGCTTATGGGCCATCAGATAATTTGTTAGAGATACAAATTCTCAGGTCTCTCTGAAAATATATTGAATCAGAAATTTCAGGATTGGGCCCAGCACATGCTGCAGTTTGGGAACTACTGGTTCTCAATCTTCCCTGTAATAATTCACTTCATCCATCCAACCACCCACCCATCCATCCATCCTACCCATCCTTATAATGAATGTTTAGAGAGTGTAATTATAATCTACCAGGAATACAATTTTACAATGGTAAAATATAATCTACCAGTACTATATTTCTTCCTCATAGATCCAAGAATAATTCTTCCATAAAACAAAAGATGGTAACTTTCTGACAATGACATACTTTTTGAAATACATTTTATACCACATCATGGTGATATATATATATATATATATATATACACACACACATATGCCTGAAGCAAAATAACACAAATCAATTGGTACCCTTAATACATGCATTGCATTCTTTGATATCTTCTGTTCTATTTCTATTGTATTTAACCCAGTAAATTGGTTTTTTAATCCACAGATAGATCACAACTCATTTGAAAAATATTGCAATAAAATACGCTTACCAGGGCAAATTCCTTGTTGAGAATCATCTGTTCAACTAAAGATGACTCATTATGGAAGAGATGAGGCTGCATATGGCTCCACATGTGAGGAAACCACCAGAACTCATCTACAGACCTAAGCAAAAGGTCATCTCCTTCATCTTCTTCTTCAGTCCCTGTCAAACATAAGGTTAAAAAGGGTTTAAATGCAAATTTCATACTAGCTTAAAGATTATGTTTGTCATGTTTTTGTTATTCTTATTACTGATATATAAATCCAATTTTGCATTGTTTTTAATAATAATAAAAAGAAATGACCACAGTAAATTATATCAGCGGCAACAAGGCAGGGAGTTGGGATGAGCTGGGGTAAGTGTGGTAGCCCTAAATTCAGATAGTTGTCTAATTTAGGATTTAGGGATATTTTATCAATGACACTGTTTCGAATTGCTAGCATATGATGATAAAAATAAGCAGACTTCATTTGAGACTATTTATTTATTATTTGAGAGAAAGAGCACAAGTGGGAGAGAGTGGTAGAGGGACAAAGAAAGAGAGAATCTCAAGAAGGCTCTATGCTTAGCACAGAGCCAGATGTGGGGCTCAATCTCATGACACTGGGCTCATGACTTGAACCAAAATCAAGAGTTGGACACTGAATAGGACTGAGCCACCCAGGCACCCTGAGACAATTTATTTTCGTTTTAAAATGATCAGCTGGGGAACCTGGGAGACTCAGATGGTGAAGCATCAGACTGAATTTCAACTCAGGTCATGAACTCACAGTTCTGAGCTGCATATGGGCTCTGCACTGAGAACACAGAGCCTCCTAAAGTTTCTCCTTTTTTCTCTGCCCCTTCCATGCTTGCACTTTCTCTGTCTCTCTCAAAATAATAAATAAGCTTTTTAAAGTTATTAGCTGATCATTTGCTTCCTTTTTGCATACACAGGAGAAACCTAATCAGAGATCTTTTTTTTATTCTTAAAAATATTCTTGTATATACATCTAAAATTGAGCTTAAAATTTAACTAATGAGGTTTGTTAATTTTTTTCTGATTACAAAAATAATATATGCTTTGTGAATAACTGAAAAGCAGAAGCTAGTGATATATGAAGTCCCAAAACAAAATAAAAACAAAGATCATCATATAAAACTCGTAGAAACATTTGGTGTTTTAAAATGTTTTCTACTTATTTTCTTTAAAAGTTCAGCTAACATTGAAAAAAAAATAAAAAAAATAAAAGTTCAGCTAATATTGTATAATTACTTTTGTATCCGTACATTTTAACATAAATATTATGAACATATACATTTCTTATTTTGATATCAATATTTCATAAAACATGAACAACGAAGTTATTAACACAATAGAAACTTGACTTGAGAACTTAAAACTGATATAAAGTTCACATCCTCTATTAGGAGAATCTGTTAACAGTGCACAATGCCTAGTAAAAACCATTTGTCATGCCAAAAGGGAAAAGGAAAGAAAGAAGTGACAACTTACTTCTATGGGAATTCACTTTGTCACAGCTACCCACAAGTATTTTCACTGTATGAAATCATAGTTTTCATATAATTTTACAAAATGCAGTCTAATTTTAAAGTGTTCTGAATCAATAATGTAAGAATTGATCCCTCCTTAGTCTCTAGATATTTAACTAAGTGAAGTAAAATAAGAGATCAGGTTTATAGTGTGAAGTGTATTTATTTGGTTTATTATTCTACAACATTGTATGTTTTACAGACAGTAGGTATATTTGATATTAAGCAAATAAATATTAAAGGCAAAAGGATTTTTTAAAGGAATCTTCTCCACACATTGGATTTCTGTGTCCCATAATAAAGATTTCATTGATCAGTAAGTAGTGCTGTGAATGGTGCAAGTACATATTTGGTGTCAATAAATACAGAACTAGGGCCCCTACCTCTACCATTTACTTGACAATGTGCTCTTGCACAAGTTAACGCCTCTGAGTCTGTTTCCTGATTCAAATGGGAGTGTTAATATCTATCTTATTGGGTCTTTGTGAAAAGTCAATGAGATCAATTTATTAAAGCACTTAATATTGTGACTTACAGATAGCAAGCCCTTTGTAAATATCAGGGTATCTTTCTTCTTAAAAATAATAACCTACTGGTTTATACTTGCAATGTTCTAAATTTATATATTTTTACAAAGTCTTGAAAACATTGCCTGCCTAGAATATAAATTTCTTAAAGTCAGAGCTTGAATTTCTTTAACTTGCACTATATCATACCATTTCCCTAGAGCAGTAAATAAGTGAATAATTTAATTCAGTACATAATAATATAATGTCAGAGAACTTCAGAGTTTTCAATGTCAGCTGAAGTTCATGCCACCTTTTGTGTGTATTTGTGTGTATACATTATTTCTGGGATACAGTTCATAATGCATAGTTCTCAAAAGTTCTAAGGACCATCAGGATTAGAGTTTGGGCACCATACTACTAGAGTAGTTGCTACTACACAAGGATAAAAAAATAGAAATTTTGAATGTGATAAAATCTTATGAATAAAGTGAGTAGACAGAATCCTTGATTTTTGTTAACTTTAGCTAAAATTGTTAGTAAGATGGACTTTTGTTAGTATAGAGAATATCAAACACTGAAATCCCGACGAAGAAAAGTTTATCACTTCCTCATATGGATTTTAATCATGGAGTGTTTAGACCAAGTGTTTATTATGGCCATGATTCACCCACTGAGGCACAGATTAGAAAGAGTTACTTTATGTCACATGTGATGAATGAATCAATAGTTCTCCCACTCTTCTGTTGTGCTTTGAATATAGAATGTTTGAGAAATGCTTCCGTTCACTTTAAACTTCACTGATTGTTATTGAAAGTAGCAGGAAGCACAAAATGCATACTTGACCAGGAAGGAGGTCAATTACTTTATTTAAAGGAAATTTGCAGACTATTGATGTAAACAAATGCATGACTGATCATAAAATCTTAGTAATTTTTATACTAGTGATTGTGTTAATTTATAAACATGCTTCACAAAGTTGACAGTGGCATTTAAAACCTTATTTTTCATTTCATAGATTAATTTCTTGTCAGCCTTTCTCTTATTTTATACAGGTTTTATAATTCAAAGCCATGTGAGGTCAGTTTATGACAATAGAAATAGCTTAATGAAAAATATGATACCAAATCATGCTGAGGCCCCTGAGCAGAATTTCACATGTTTTAAAACCCAACTAAATGAAAATATTAAATTTTTGAATCACTATAAACACATATTTTCTATACCTAATTTATGCCTAAATTATATGTGAAGATATAATTTGTTGTTTATACATTACCAGATTTAACACATTACAATCCTTTAAAATATGTGTTAATATTGAGTATTTTACTTCTAACCTAATCTAAATTCGAATTTACATAATTATTAATTTAAAATATAGAATTTCTGTTCTCATTTAACAATTATTCCCTTTTACTCTTCCCAATTCTCAAAAAATAGAAAGTTTCTAAATTCAAAAGTAAAATACTGAAATATTCACTTTTTGTTATCACTTATGGAAGATCTCGTAATAAGATAACAGCATGTCTCTAAAAGTCCTTTAAGTCTGCCAATATAAAAATAACTTTAGCAAGATCTGGTCTATAGGTTAATTCCCATTCAGTAACATTAAAATGCAATTTATAAAATTCCAGTGTCTGCATTATTGCTTTTGCACAAATGTCTGCCTTATATTTGCTCATTATGTATGAAATATTATCATTTCTAAATGGTAAGAAGATGTTGTAATTTTCTTTGTATATTGAATCTGGCATGGTTTCACATAGGTGAATATACATAAACTAATTTTAACTATCCACTAAATAAAATACCTGTGTGGTGATGAAAATCAATTAAAAGTTACCTAATAGAGGTGACTGGGTAACTCAGTCAGTTAAGCATCCCACTTTGGCTCAAGTCATAATCTCAGGGTTCATGAGTTCGAGCCATGAATCAGGGTCTGTGCAGAGCCTGCTTTAGATCCTGTCTCCCTCTCTCTGCCCCTCCCCCACTCTCTCTCTCTTTCTCTCTCTCTCAAAAATAAACATTAAAAAAGTTACCTACCTATAGTTATCTGTTAGCTCTAGGAGTAATAAATAAATGCAACAAAGCTGCAGAATAAAAAATTAATATACAGAAACCTGTTGTATTTTCATAAGTGAATACACTACACACTAACAAAAGAGCAGATAGAGAAATTAAGAAAACAATGCATTTAAATTGCATGAAAAATAATAAAATACCTAGGAATAAACCTAACCAAGGAGATGTAACACCAGTACTCTAAAGACTGTTAAGACATTGATGAAAGAAATAGATGAAGAAACTCCAAACAAACGGAAAGATATATAGTGCTGATGGACTGGAAGAATTAATACTGTTAAAACATCCATACTCCCCAAAGCAATCTACAGATTCAATGCAATCTGTACCAAATGTCAATAGCATTTTTCACAGAACAAGAACAATAACCCTAAAATTTGTATGAAACCAGAAAAGATTGCAAATAGTCAAAGCAAAGGAGAGAAGAACAAAACTGGGGTTACCAAAATCCCAGATTTCAAACTATACTACAAACTGATAGTAATCAAAACAGTGTGGTACTAACACAAAAATATACACAGAGGAATAAAACAGAATAGAGGGTCCAGAAAGAAACCCACATTTACATGGTCAATTATTCTATGACCAGGGAAGCAAAAATATACAATGGAGAAAAGACTTTGGAAAAACTGGACAGTTATATAGAAAAGAATGAAATTGGGTCACTTTCTTATTGCATACACAAAAATAAACTCAAAAGGGATTAAAGATCTAAATATAAGACCTAAAACAATAAAACCCCTAAAAGAAAACATAGGCGGTAATTTCTTGGACATCAACCTCAGCATTCTCCGGTCCAGAAAAACTAAAGCAAAAATGAATTATTGGGACTACATGACACTAAAGAGATTTTGCATAGCAGAGGAAACCAACAACAAAACAAAAAGGCAACCTACTGAATGAGAGGAGGATATTTGCAAATGATGTACCTGATAAAGAACTCCCAAAACTGAATACCAAAACAAAGCCACAAATAATCCAATTAAAAGGGCAGAGGTACTGAACAGACATCTTCCCAAAGACCTCAGATGGCCAAAAGACATGTGAAAAGATGCATCCCTAATTATCTGAGACACCATGATGAGATATCACTTCACACCAGTAAGAATGGCCTATATCAAAACATAAGAAATAGGAAGTGTTGGCAAGGATGTGGAGAAAAGAGAATCTTTGTGCCCTATTCACAAGAATGTAAGCTGGTGAAGCCACTATACAACACAGTACAGAGGTTCCTCAGAAAACTAAAAATAGAACTACCAATCCCGTAATTCTACTTCTGGGTATTTACACAGGGAAAACAAAACCACTTATGTATGTATGTATGTATGTATGTATGTATGTATGTATGTATGTCTTTATTTGATTTTGAGAGACAGAGACAGCGAGCAAGGGACAGGCAGAGAGAGAGGGAGACAGAATCTGAATCAGGCTTCCGACTCTGAGCTGTCAGCACGGAACCTGACGCGGGCTCAAACCGACAGACTGTGATATCATGACCTGAACCAAAGTCGGACACTTAACTGACTGAGCCACCCAGACACCCACAAAAACACTAATTTAAAAAGATATATGGACACCCACGATTACTGCAGCAGTATTTACAATAGCCAAGATACAATAGACAAGCAACTCAAATATCGATCCATAGATGAATGGATAAAAAAGATGTGGTATATATACACAGTGGAATATTACTCAGCTATAAAAACAATAATGAAATCTTAGCATTTGGGACAACATGGTTGGATATCACACTAAATTAAATAAGTCAGAGAAAGATAAATATCATATGATTTCACTTATAGATAAAATCTAAAAAACTAAATAAACAACAATATCAACAACAATGACAAAAGGGAGAAACAAATTCAGATATAGAGAGGACAAAATAACAGTTTCCAGAAGGGAGGAGAATGTGAGGTGGGTGAAATAGGGTGAAGGGAATTAAGAGGTATAATCTTTCTGTTATAAAATCAATGTCTCCGGGATAAAAAGAATATAGAGAATAACATTGTAATAACTTTGGTGACTGCTGAAACCACACTTATCCTGGTGAGCAAACTGTAATGTATGTAATTTCAAATCACTATATTGTACACCTGAACCTAATATATCATACACCAGTGATACTCCAATTAAAAATTTAAAAAAAATTTTTTAAATGGGTTCAGTACATTGCATTGCCTGTAAAACCTTCAAAAAGGCACATGTAGAAAATATACTTCTAAGAATGTTACTTGTATCTATAAATAAGTAGAGTTTATTATTTCATTGTATACATATGTTCCCAATGTATTGTTTCACTGAATAACTTGTAAGACACATACATAAAAGTTGTTTCTAAGAATGCTACTTCTCTGTGTGAATAAGAACATAATTATTTCAGTTAATGATTGTGTTTGCCACACTGCAGTACATTAAAACTCTCTTTAAAGGTAAACAAAAATACAAATAAATAAGTAAATAAAATGAATGAAATAAATAAATGAATGGATGCATGTTACCCAGATTTCAAAATTAGAAAATGGATCTATGTGAATTATTCAGTTTACTTCTTTAGTAAGACTTGATGTTACAGAAAAAATACTTTTTAAAGTGATAGTAATAAAACATAGGACTTAGAACGTGCATTGTTCTAGATGAGGGAGATATTATTATTCTAATATGGAGATGCAGAAACTGAGGCACAGAGAGTTTAAATAACCTGTTTATATTCACAAAGCTAGTGAATGTCAAAGTCTGGATTTGAACAAAAGCAGTCTGTTGCTAATACCTACTCTGTGAACCAATACTTTATACAAAAAGAACAAAAACTAAAAGCAAACAAAAGTGAGTGAATTTTTTTTACTTTCATGTTTAAAAGGTAATAGTTTCATATAAAAGGTCTAAATTTTTGTAAAATGAACTCTCATTAGATAAACAATATTAATACAATTGCAAATGCCCATAGAGTAATTGATCAAATCATACTTATTTATTATTAATTATAAACAGTGACAATTACTGTCACTAGAAATTATGCCCTATGAAAAATAATTCTTACAGCCCTTTATCCCTGGAGGACATCTTAATGCTGTAATGCCTTTTATTCTTTAATTGAACTTTCACTGTGCAATTCTAATCAAGCTTTACATATTTCCAGACTAAAACTTTTATTTCAAACTCCACACTTTTTTCCCCCTTTTAATCTACAGTATGTCCTTTCTCTTTCAATTTGGCACCTGTGAGTGGCTGACTGTTAGGGAATGCTTAGTGATATGTCCTTTTTGGGTGAGATTGTTTTTCGCATGTGAAGGACAGAGAAACTGAAGAGGAAAGAATACATGAAAAATAAAAATAAGTGAAGTGGTCTAAGAAATGAAGAATCTATCATTACACTGGGCATATGTGATTAAATGTCTTCAAAACAATGAGGCTCATCAATCAGCATCCTCATGCATTGGGAAATCAGAAAACCTGGGAGAGACAGAGACAATCATTGTGACAAGGCCACTTTCTAATAGTTACACATCACAGCAGAATGCAAGTATAAGGAAAGCACTTCCCTGACTTGCAAACTTTTCCCCATACAGTTAAGCCTGCATATAAGAACGTGACTAGACATGATAGAGGTATGCCCTCCCTATAGTGGGCATCACCATGTTATTCCATGCTAGAGGAAACCTTGATACCTTTGGGTAAATTTAATAACTACTCAATGTAATATGATTGCACCTTTGAAATACAATATGGATGCCCTTCAATGATTCAATGGATGCAAATCAATTAAAGTTTCATATTTAAGTGAAATATGAAATAAACTTCTGGATATATATGTATATAGAAGTTTACTTTCCTTCACATAAATATATATATATATATATATAAGTATATATATATAATCATATATATAATCTAAATGTATGAACCCTAAAGTGATTTATGAATGTATGTGTGTGTATATAAAGATACATAAAGCATAGTCTAAATGTATGATCTCTAAAGTATACTACATGCCACAACATAACAGAATAGAAAGTTTCTTCCATTATTTTTGTCATATTAGTACCAACATGAAGAGTCAATAAGGCCTTTTTAAGAATTATAATTAAAATGATTGTTTTGTATCTTCCTCCAACAACTATCCCTGTGATAATTAACTCGTGTTGTTCATTTCCTAGTGGATGTGTACTGAGTACATGCTCAGGATCATAAAGAAGAAATGGGAAGTGTTATAACCTACTATCAGCATTAACTCTGAATGTCTGGCAGGTTTAATAGGTCTGCATATGAAAAGTAAATAAAAGACCCGAGGCAGTTATCTAGATATATTTCCACCAAAAGAATGGCTTTACTAGTACTATCTAGCTATTTAAGACAAAATAGTATTGTTTGTGTGTGAACTCCATATAATCCTATAATTTTCCCCTTGCGTGAGTAGATAGAGCCTTTGGAGTTTTCTGCTTTATAACTTCAGTGTCAGAGCTTCTTAGGCCTGAACTCATTTCTTGAGGGGGCTTTTGAATAAGATTTACAAAACCATGTATATTTTCAAAATTGTGAGCTGGAATTGCTTTGCCTATGCAGATATGATGACCCAAATCTCTTTCTGCAAAATGTCCTTTTAAAATATGCAATCATTTGATTTATCAACTGGTTTAAATACTAATTTTCCTTCTATTACTTTAAACAGATTTACATGTTTCAAAGCAGGAGGGAAAAGCATTAAAGAAAAGCCAATAAGACTTCGCTGCTTCAATATTCTAATAAACCATGCTGAGCCTCTTTGGGTAAACATGAAAAAGTTTCTTTGGGTAAATGAGCTGCATTTATGATCATTAAAGTCTACCTTTGCACGGGATATTTTTAATGTCAATAACACTCATGCACGCATAGAGAATGCTACGAATTTTTTCACTTAAGATGCTATGAAATAATGACAGTGCAAAATCACAAATACAGAAATAGGAGCAGATAGTAGGTATTTGCTCTAATACAGGCTCTAACACACCATTCGGTGCTATTTTTGTCATTATTACAAGATAGTCACTTCTATCCTCTATGCACATAGCTTTCTCTGTATAGTGCCAGATATTAGAATGCTGACATTCAGAAAATAAAAGTCAAATTCTGGAGGTGAAGGTGGGTAGAAAGGTGAGAAATATCCTAACATAGAGTAGTGCATGAACACAATCACATTTTAAAATTTGTTGAAAAGCTGACACTTGCTGAGAGAGAAGATGCATAGTCACAACATAAACAGTGATCTTGGTTTCTTTTACTGATTTGAAAAAGTCAGTTCTCTTCCTCTTTTGCCCTTGATTCTAACAGTAGTGGCAATGTAAACAAGCTCATTGATTTTGGATTTGGCTACTCATATAATGCATCCAAGTTTTTCCCATAATCAGTCTGGATATTCTATTTCTCCTACTTATGAAACATTTAAAAACCTCTCTCCTATTTATATGTAGCTGCCTGAGAACACAAACCTCCTTCTTACCTGTGTGGTAAAACTTCCCTGAAAATCCAAGGTTGAAGGTAAAATTTGCAACCTGAGTGCGCAGTAAATTTTGAGTCTCTAGTAATGCCTGAAATAAATAAGAAATTAACATGATTTTAGAAAAATAAATATGAAGCTTTGGGATGCCTCTTTTTCAAATGTGTATGCATGAGTGAACAAAATAATAATGGGCTTTGCTGCTTTTTGGGTTTTTGATGGCTACTGTTTTATGCTATTCATATTTCAGGTATTATAATCACTATTGTTATTTTTATTGAAGTTCACCAAATTATGAAGCAGTTAAGTCCTAAGCACATTATAAGTTGCTGAGAGGCAATTCTCTAAACACACAGCACTGAAATCATTTTTCATTTCCGTGTGAGGCCTTTCTTGATTTCAGATTATTACACTTCTTTTCCTTGGGGGAAATCTTTCAGAATTTTTTGGATGTAGACAACTCTTTCATTTGTTGGTAAGGAATAGATAGGTAATATTTGAGTCGCAATTTAATATTTATTTAACTGTGCTACCTCCCCTATCATTTTTAAGGGATAATCATTGAGTTTAAAGCTTAGGTTCTTAACTATATGAACTAAAGAGAAATGTATAATTTATATTGATTGCAAATCTTGAAATATGAACCAGGCAAGGAAAGATAGGAAATAAATAGCCAATTCCATAACAAAAACTTTTCCAACTGTGGTAAGATGTCCCTATTTTCTGCATTTGGAATTGTTCTATGTTAATTTCTTATTTGTAGACAGGATAGGAACACACTGATAGTAAACTTAGAGTCAGACTTAGTCCTGTAAATTTTCTGCCAGTCCTTAAACTGCTATTTTTCCTACCCCAGCACATGTACCATAATTCAGAGCTGTCATATCCTTGGGCTTTTTAGTTTGCTTACCTATTCAGAATGCTTTTCCTGTTTTTAAATGGATTTTTAAAGGGGACTTACTTTGTTCTGATGAAAATAAAAAGTTAATTTCAAACTAGATGTACTAGTAAGACCAATTTTTGGCTACTGCTATCCATATGTTAAGGGGAACAGAAATTTAGACAATTCTTTTGAGCATTAGTCACAATGGCTAAGCATTTACTTAAAAATTTTGTGGAACTATTTACTCCTCCAGAATTAAGACGACTCTTCTGCAAATTAGTTTAATTAAATAAAAGAATAGCTAAAAGGTTGATAACCACACAATCAGTAGTTATCCTAGATTACAGTTACATTGTATGTAATCCTCGCCAATCTTGTTTAAATATTATTAATTAAGTAGAAAAAGGAAAAACAATAGGCCTATTAGTTTGACTCAGTTATATTAAATATATTTTTTAAAAGTTCTCAGAAAGAAAAAATAAATGCTAAAAGACATTGGAGTTTAAAATAAGGTCTTTTGAATTAGTAGAGCATAGGGGCGAGTGGGTGGCTCAGTCGGTTAAGCGTAGGACTTCAGCTCAGGTCAAGATCTCATGGTTCGTGAGGCTTGGATTATGTGCTCACAGCCAGCTCAGATTCTGTATCTCTCTCTCTCTCTGACCATGCTCACGCTGTCTCTCTTTCTCTCTCAGAAATCAATTAAAAATTAAAAAAAGAATGAGTAGAGCATATTGGTAAATCCTGTGGAATACAGCGTTAAATTGAAAAGACCGTGCTTCTCTTTATTTTAGTAAGCTTCTTTTTCTGGCTTCTTTTATTCAATGCACAATCCCTGGACTTCCATATCTTCAAATAGTTTTTTTAAAAACACTTCTCCCTTTCCCTGTATTACTTACTACTCCAATCCCCTTCCATTCTTGACCTCTGAGTTCTCAAAGTCATTAATCTGCATTTAGTTCTCCAATATCTTAAAATCACTAAATATGTATTGTAGGTGGATACATATATTTAGTGTATATATTGTGTGTAACAAGCATAGTCCCCTTAACCTAGGACCTTAATGCCTAGATAGGGAGAGAGAATTTAAATAGACAGTCATAGAAATGTATAATTACAACTCAGGATAAGTTCTACAAAAGAAATCTAGAGCATGCTATGATAGACCAGTGAGGATTTTAATTTATACTGATGGAGTGGGCCCACATTTTTGATGTTTTCTTAGGGGGAAATAAATCAAATAAATCAAAATCAAATCAAATCAATACACATCAATCTATTTTTCCCTCAATCAACTTGCCATTGTCTTTTCCTTGGGCTTTAAAAACACTGTAGTCTGCTAACCTTGTTCCCACCTTTCAGTTTTATCTTCTTCTAATCTGCTTTACACTCTGCAATCATGCTAACATCCCAGAGGCAGTAAATGCACTTCACCCTCGGGGTCAAGGAGGCCATTCAATTAATGGCTCAGCTTTTTTGGTCATTTCACTTCTCTAATGCTTTCTTTCCCTTATCTGTAAATGGGATAATGTTTACCACCTGTTTCACACTATTATTGGGGATTAGAAAGCATACAGCTAAATGCCTGGCACAAAGTTGGAGCTCAATAAATGCTGTCAATGAACACTCAATGTGTCATTTTATCCCCACCAATTAGGTATTGTTGGTGCCTCCACTTCTCCAATTAAGCTACATTCATTGTTATTTCCCCCAAATCACTTTGTCCTCTGGATCTGTTCCCATCTCCTACACTTCTCCATGCCTTTCCCCACTCTGCTCCTTTTGCTTAGTCTCCAGCTGCTCCAAATCCCATTCCCCAAAACCATCCATTCTTTAAAGTTCTGCCCAAGTGCCCTTTCTGTATGAAGCCTGCTTTGATGCCTCAAAGCTTTTACTTTTCTTAACTCTCAAAGTAAGTTCCTAAATTATTTTTCATAAGACTTGCATTATTCTCTTCTTTACTACCGCACTTTATATCCTACTTCTTCTAATCTATAAGCATCTGCAAGTCAATAAAACCTTACTTATTTTTACATATTCCCTATTGCTCTACATGTTTTTGTAAATGTGGAAGGCATTCAATTGAATTAGTTTCATTTATTTTTATTAATAACATATTTCTGATGGTAAAATGATAAACACGGGTCATGTCCCATACCATCAAATGATATCAAAACAGCATGGATAGGATGCTACATTTCACCAGGACATTCATATCATAGATGCTTTATAATCTTATATTATAGATTACCTAGTAAGACAAGCTCACAGAAGTGAAGACAGATGGATTTTCTTCCAATGGTACTAATAACTCTGTGAAGAATTTGACAAACCCTTCCACTGTTGAAAGAAATAGAGTGGTCTAGTCATATTCTCCCAACATGTAATTTTGATTAATGTGGGAGTAAAAATGGATTAAAAAAGCAAGTTCTAAAAGATTCCAAGACTGTCTACTTCAGTATAAAAAAATGTTCTTTGATTTCCAAAATTCAGGAAATTTCCATGGTCTTTCAATGGTAAAGGAAGAAAGATACAAATAATAATGAGTAATAAAATAGGCCTAATTTTAAAATCAAAAATCATAAATATGTTCAAAAGAAAAAATTGTAAGCCACAATAGTTAAAGAAGAAATGTAGAAAAAGTAAAGAATAGAAATAGACAAAAAGTGTAAAGTGTCAAAAGAAAATTTAGACAAGAAAAATACAAATATAAAATTGTGAATAAATGAAATATAATGAAACTTAAAAACTTACATTCAAAAAACTTGTTTATAAAATGGAAGTAATATGTGTCACTTATAGATAAAAATAAGTTTGTGAAGTTTAGGAAACAGCATTTAGCTTACAGATAAGCATTTTTATCTGAATATTTGGTGAGGAAATTTCACTAGCTTTTGAACATATACATAAAATGAAATATATTTAGTGTTTAGACAATAAACTTGTTATTTTCTTTAACAGTTTATCTCATGAGAAATATAAATAGCTTTGGGGTGCCTGGGTGGCTCAGTTGGTTGAGTGTCTGACTTCAGCTCAGGTCATGATCTCACAGTTTGCAAGTTGGAGCTGTCAGTCCAGAGCCTGCTTTGGATCCTTTATCCTTCTGTCTCAGTCCCTACTCCACTCACTCTCTCTACCTCCCTCTCAAAAATGAATAAACATTATATATATATATATATATGTATATATATAGCTTTAAAATTTTTCCTTGCATTATTTGGGAAGAACTTACTAAGGAACTTGGCTAGATATTAAAGAGAATATATATATATTAGTAACATATTTCTGATGGTAAAATGATAAATACGGGTCATATATATATGTATATATGTATATATATATGTATATATATAACTTAAGAAAAAGCAACAATTCATTATTTTAATGAATTTTAAGTATATTACTTACATTAACATAATGTTATCATAATAAAGTCCTCAGTATTTAATAAAGCAAGTTCAACTTTGCCCTACTGCAAAATGTTAAAACAATGGTTTACAAACTTTATTGTGCATAAAATTTTCTAGAGGAGACTGCTAATATTGTCAATCCTGGTGCCCACTTGAAAAGTTATTGATTTAGTCTTATGTGATAAGGTCCAGGCTTGTGTATTTCATCAGAGACCAGTTGCTTCTAAAAATGGTTAAGCAATTGTTTCCAAGTTACCCATAAGAAAAGAATTGCCAGAATGCTTGTTGTAAAGTAACTTTCCCAGGCCTGTGCTCTGGGAATTCTGAATTGGAGTATAAAATGGAAACTAGGAAACTGCAATTTTAATAGTGATTCTTATAGCTTCAAACTGGAGATTATAACCATCAAGTTACCTTGGGAAATATTTAGTACATTGTTTATATTCATGTTAATTTCAAAGTATGTTGCTTATGTCTTAACCACTCCAATACTCAGGCTAATCCTTTCCCTAAATGTACATAAGGCATGACCATTTACATATATTGATATAGCCTTATACTCCCAAAATCTCAAATCAAACACAAAAGGGTTATAGTTTGTTACTTTAACTGCCTTGGCAGTTTTTTAATATATCCAATAATTCAATGAAAATGGCATCTTATTTATCTTACAAGATCTCGATGTGGGAATCTGAGTGGTTACCTCTATTGTTACGGTCAGGCAGAAGAAGAAAAGGCTTCATGGAAAGTTTAAATGGTAAACCCAGATAACACAGGGAAAGGGCCCAAATTGTGCATGTT